ATCGGAGTAGCAATCGGTGCGCTTGTCGATTTTGCTGCTGCATTGTGTTGCCTTAAATGTCCCAAATTTACCCATTACCAAACTGAAGAAAGATCAGTAAAAAACAAAGTGGAAGAAACGAAGGCGATATAAAGAGATTCATCCCGACTCTTTTGCGATTTGTATGTGTCCCGACCTCTGAGACCTTTTGGGATGATATACATGTATGTGATTCAAAAAAAAAATTTAGTAGCATAAGAGCAACTTTTGAACTAGACTTTATGAGCCGCTTACCTATACCATTCGTTGTAGTATTGTTCATAGTACGCTTTTAGATACTCGTCATCAATGGCGTGCCCGATGACCTGACTAGCACTCGCTTTCTGAATTATTATTCAATTTGTTGAATTCAAGCTGATTTATTAACACCTTCCTTACGGTATCTGGTTTCAAATGTGGATGGTCCTGAAGCGGCTTTGACCTGAATGAGAAAAATAGATGAATTAGAACATATGAGCTTGTATGGAAGGTACACCAAAAAAATTGAGACATAGCTTTATCTGCTTTCACGCTTTTCTTTGCAGTAATCACTTTCCTGACAGCAGTCAAAGGCTTCAAAATAAGCTCGCCATACTAGTTGCGCCTCGATATGGGCATACCTTCCTGGTGTTGCAAGCTCTGTTGAAGTCTCTCCGATCTGGATCAGAACAGGGAGGAATATAGGGAAGCAGGTTCAAACAAATTGGAGAAAAATTTGGAAAAGTGAGCATTATGAAACTGTTTCTGGCATACGGGAATGCGAAAAGGCCGCGAGGGGGGAAAATTACTTGGGTTTCGGCACTGCGAACGAGCGAAGTGAATCAGATTAGGTAGATCCAGTTGCGGCAAGAGTAGGTTGACTAGCATGCAGTTTGTACGTGATCCATTGAACTTCTGGTTTCTCAATCATGTTGTTAGTCAGAATCGTATTTCTTATGTTAGCAAAGGCTTCACCATCTGTTTCCTCATTAGAGCTGAAACCAACAACTCTACAAGCAACTGTATTTCCATTTCTGCATGCACTAGTCTGTTGGAAAACTGTCTGGCTTCCCAGAATTGCGCGTGCAAAATCACTTGCAAAGAAACGCATTCACATGTGCAAAAAAATCATCTAGTGATAAAGGCGATACGCACCGATGATGGGTGATGAGCCACCTTCTCAAAAGGTAGTCAAAACAGTCGTTTGATGTGGAAGGCATAGAGTGTCTGTATAAAAAGTGGAAGAGAGGAACAAAGACTCACGGCTTTCAGCTTATTTCTTGATGCGTTCATTTTTTACAAAAAGTCGATGGGTTCTCCTTTTTGAAAAAAGCAAGGACATCGCTTGCACTCTTACACTTATCATACCCACAGAGTTGATCCTTTGACGACTTTACGGCCGCACGTGGTGAGGGCGGCGAACATCCGTTGCGCGCGTCCGTCGAAAGTAGGTCACCCCGCCCACTTCGCGCGCGGCGCACCCCACTGAGGTCTCGAGATAACATTACAGTACCACTAAGTGTGAGTGGAGCGAATGGTTTGCATTTGTCCTTGTTATCTTCTTATTGGCTGACTGCCGTGGACCAAGCGCAAACCGTATGCCCCGATACAACTGCGACGTCTGTCAAGTATCGCGGGCTTACCCGCCGCATGCGACGGCTGCGGCGTGACCTAGTTTCGACGGACGCGCGCAACGAAGCGCACCCAGTGAGGGCGGTTATTCCAACAGTTTTCTCCTCATGTAATATGAAATGAGCGGGGGTGCGGTCTTATTGGCTATGGCTCTACAATTACATCAAAATTTTAGCAGCTAAGCAAATATCGGTCAAAATAGAGTTGAGTATCTATCTGCTACACATGCCTCAATATTTATGATGTACCTTGTATGTTCAGTACTGGATCGGTTGAATCAACAAAAAGATCGAAAATACTTACGTAATCACAGGCTGGACAACTACTGGGTCAGTACCTATGGGAGAGCTGTAGTAGGTTGGTACGAATTCCTGAATCAATTTTATTATTGTCGATATATTGTCTCTTCCTTCCCTTATCATAATAGTTCTATCAAAGAAAATCGAATGCTAAGCGAAGCTTTTGAAAAAAAGATTGATAAAGATGGTAAGAAAATGCAGAATCGAGTATCCTTGTTGAGAAGCGACGCTTTTGTAGGTTTATTAACCTTCATTCCCGAAGGTGTGGCTGAAGGAAGTCTTACCCCTAGCTTTCTTTCCAAAAAAATTACCGAGGAGTATCAAGCATGTCTCTATGCTTTTCTTTCTTATCAACTATGGAGGAACGCGCAGGGTTGATTGAGTCAATCAGAATCTTTGATTCAGTGAAGGAATCTCGTTCAATAATCATCAGATAACGTACCCGACATAGCTCGCTTCTGATCTGCAAAATTTGGCTTACCGTTGAGCCCATAAAACCAAGGATGTTCCATAATTCTACTATCTACTTTTCCAAAAAAAGGAACAAAGGAAGCAACAATATTCGACTATCGGTAAGTCTTTGCAAGGATTCTTGATGTCGTAAGCGTTCTTTTGTGAAGCCTTGGCCAAGGTGGAAAATTGTATTATCTTGGCCAAGGCTTCAGAAAAGAGCACATACAACAAAAGAACCTTCTTAGAACCGATGTCAAGCCCCTCCCCGTGAGGCAAATGGACATATAACAAAAGCAAGTACAACACAAGGGTACATATTCCAAAGGCGACTTCAGACCATCACTGTTACGAACTTTGAGGAATAGCTGCAACTTTCATCATACATTGATGGCCTACGTACATCACTGTGTACGCATGCATGAGAAGACTTTTGCGCTCTTGCTCACTTCACTTTTGCTTGGGTAGTGGTGTTCCAAACAGTGGAGACCAAATGGACTAAATGCATCTTACGTGCGTTACGACACATCTTTAGGAAAACATTTCCTCCGCTTGCTTCTCAAGACCACTAGTAGAGTTCAGTAATACGATTCGATTGCGTGTGCCATGAAGAGGTAATCAAAGTGAAGCCCATACTCAGAGATAACCCGGTTTGGAGGTGATGAGGTAAGAGCCTACTCGTAAGAAATCGAACGAATCCCAATATGTTCCTCCCCATTATACAAAATATGTGTCACAGTGACAATTTAGGTAGGTACTTCTCTGTGGGACTCTGCCACTTATTCAACCATCTGTTCAAGAATATTCTTCTCATTTGAAAAATTTTTCCTCGAGGGATTAAGCAATGAGAGATGGAAGACTTGAAAATCGTTCAGTGAACGTACAGCTTCAGTATCAGCCGTTGTGGTCTTCAACATGCGGCCATGCACGAATGCTGCCTGGAATGGGACGAATGCTAAGGCTTCAAGCTTGACGGAGAACGTTTTGCTACTTACAACAGCAATTAGCCTGCGCGCATGGAGTCGAAACTATGATGCGATCCATGAGCCCTGCTGTATGTGTGGTTGTGTGTATATGCGTATGTGTATGTATGTGTATGTGTGTATGTGTTTATATCTGTGTGCATGTGTATGTGTGTAGGCGTGTGTATATGTGTGTATGCTATATTGTAATTCTTTCAATTTTCAAATTGCACCATAAATAGCTTCAGAATTCCTTCACAACTTCAAAAACACGAACTTGATTCTTCTCGAGCATGATCTCTTTACACAAAAGTTGTTCTCATGCCAAAGTAATGACAGCTGCTCGTAAGATCAGGGTATGGGTTTGCTTTTGCTAACAGTATAGCTACAATTTGATAGCCTGGCGTTACAAAAAACTAGCGCTTTTTAAATGTTTTTGAATGTTCCTAGATTGGTAAAAAATATTAGGTTAAAAATGTAAAAAAGAGAGTCTTGCTTGTCCCACTGCTTCAAGTACGATATTGTTATACCACCCTATTTCTGGTTTCCTATTTCTGATGCAGAGTCGAGTCAGTTTTGAGGACGAAACCCTACCTGGCTTAGTTGAAGTTTGGGCATTTCACTTACGTTTTCAGTAGATTCTTTCCATCCACCGAGGTATGTCGCATCAGAATTTGCTGAGTCCTGAATTAGTTCAATATTAGTGTGCGAACAAACTCAAAATAATGTCTACCCCTCACATCCACGGAGCTTTTCACATCTTTCGGCTCAGCGAACGTTTTAATTCCACGAAGACGCCTTTGAACAGTTTTCCGAACTAGTGCCTTTTCTTGATTCTCGCTCATATTCGAATTTTCATCATTTACTCCGTTCTAAATAAATACGAATTCCGCTCCAATGAGCAATTTGCCGGTCTAATTACCGTGCGATATGTGACATACCTCATGTTCTTTTTCTGTTGACTGATTTTCGTTCCTTGTTCTATCAACTAGACGTGAGAGTTTGCCTTCTCCGGAACCGTCTTCTAAATTAGGAGCTGAAGACCTTAGTTCATTAGTAGAATATATTTTCGCTTTTGCTGATTTGTCGTCAGTCTGTTTTCTCTTTTCACCCGAACTCCTATGTCTTGCCTGCGCTCCGAATTTGTTCAGCAGCTCCTTTCGCCTTCCAGACAACTCGTCCGCAGAGTGAGTTGACAATTTATTTTCCTCCATCTGATTCTCGTTGTTCATGTCGGTTGTTGTAGGCTGTTCCTCTTCCTGCTTTTGCTCCATTTTCTGTTCAAGCTGATTCATTCCAATCCAACGCCTTCGCTGCTGGAATTTTAGTGGCTGTGATTCACTTCTGGGGTTCTCCATGTTGAAGCGTTCCACGTCCTCCCTCATGTGCCTTCGTTCGTCTTCCGCCATTCGTTGTTGATGTTGTTGATGTTCTATACGTGACTTTTCTCTGACTAAGTTTTGCCGTCGTTCTTCCTCTTTTTGCATTATCCTACGTTCCAGCTCTTCTCCTAGCCTTCGTTCGTCAAAGTCTTCCTCTTTTCCTCCTTCTTTTTCTTCCTCTTCTGTTTCCTTTCCATTTTCATCCTGATGCTTCCTTCCTAGCTCCTCTTCTTCATTGCGTCGCCTTCTTTCTTCTTTTCTCTTCCTCCTATTCTCTTCTTCCTCCTTTATTCTCCTTCTCGCCTCTATTTCCATCTTTTTTCTCGCTTCTTCTTCCCTTAGCTGTTGCCTACTCCTCTGTTCCCTCAACCTTTCAATTTCCGTTTGCTTTTGCCGTTCAAGCTCGACTAGCAACTTTTCTTGTCTGTCCCTTTCCTCCTTCGCTTCTTTCAACATTTTCCTTCTCTCTTCAAGCGCTCTTACCCGTCTTCTCTCGGCTCGAGCTGCTTCTAATTGCGCTTGTTCTTCTGCACGCTTCTTCAGCAATCTTTGAATCTCCTCATCTCTTTCGCGTTTCAGTCGTTCACGTCGTTCTTGCAGTTCTTTTATTTGTTTTTGTTCCCAATCTAGAACTCTCGCGAGCTCCTCTTCTTCTTCCTTTTCTCTTCTGATTCTTTCCTCCCTTGAACTTTCAACATATGTTTGCGTCCGCATCGTAACCGCCTCCGCTGACTCATGTCGTCGAATCTGAAATTGTAATTTTTATGGACATTCTACTCGCAAAAGCTATAACGTAACATTGACGTATGGTCACTATTTAGTTCTGCTATAGCTACCTAGTAACGAAATTGAACGGAAAATTCTACAGAGATGGTTCTTCATCTCATGAATAACCTTCACTTCACACCACTTCTTCACTCAAAACCCTCTCTCACAGAAGAATTTCGTGTAAGCGGGAGCTTTACCAAATGTGATCAGTGGGAGATAGCCCCTGAGCAAGCTGACGAGTGTTGTCCGTGCATGCGAGTGTAGTTCTTGAAAATGTAAGGCTGATATTCTGCACGTCACCTCTGCCAAAAACTTGGATACGAATGGCTGGGAAGTTTAGTATTCCTCAAGTTCCTGAGTTTTGAAAAACTCCAATATGGTATCATTGTAAAGAGCCATTGAAACGAAACCAATAAGATCTTGGACTCGTAATACGCTACTCGAACCACAAAAGGCTGAGTTGAATATGGTATGTCCACACTCTTCAACTTTACTCGGTTACAAAGTATTATAGAAGCTTCGGGCAAATACCATGTTACACTATACTATACTAAGAAATTATCATTTATCACAAGCACCACACTGGACATTTCACACAATTAAAAAACTCTACACGAGTCGCTCAAAAGTTTTCCAAAACCTCACAGAAATGGCTTATCAGATGACAGGACACCACAACCAATATAATATACAAAAAACCTTTAGGTAGACAATGATAAAATATCAGCATTGAGAGAGCCTGATTCCAGGAATTAGCAGGATCGTCATTTCGCTGCGTAACTTCATCCCTAGCAAGGATGTAAGCTGCTTTGCAAATTCCTGGCTATAGGTGACCATTCATAAAGTGTCTGATGCTACTGCTCAAGCATGTCGCCCATCAGCTGATTGCATATGCACTGCAACCGCTGTATCCCATATATTCTTAGCAGTGTTTAATCCAGACTCAGTGCTATTCATTCTAATACACAGCACCGCAAAAATGTAACTCTACCCTTGAATTGTCTGAAAATTCGTGATTCTTGCTGTTTCTGGAAAAGCCTCCTATTGGTAATTGGTGCAAGTAATATCAGAAGTTTGCAAGCAACAATAAATTGCAATCGGAAAGGGCAATTTCTTCATGTTCAGCTTATCTCAACTTTTTTTCATCTTTGGGCAGCAATGGCATCGGAAGGGCGGCAGAAATTATGCTTTGTATGAAATAAATATGAAAAATACGATTTCTGCGCTATCGGGTTGCTGTAAGGCATGCACTCCTTCCTTTTTGGTGCCAGTATCGGGGCAAAACTTTGTTTTTGTGCAACATAACGCCCTGATACATGTCTGCCGAAGCACTCCAGCGTGGTTTAGCCGTTATCAAATGGCCGTGTTACCTTGGCCCGCAGTGAGTCCTGACTCAGTCCAATGGAAAGCGTAAGAACGTTAATGGTGAGAAGGATGTATGCCAAAAATTGCCAGTTTCGAGGCTCAAAGAAGTCGTCATCAATTCATGGCACCAAGTTGACCAAAGGCATACCACAATCTTTGTGCAAGCATGCACGATCTCATCTTCCAACTCTTTGAAGGATCGGAGGGTCATTAGATCACTCATTGTTTTGTGTGACCGCAAAAGACATAGCGATCAAGCATGTATGGCGGAGAACTTTGTTTGTTGGTCCGATTGGAAGAGATGGAGACTGCACGTGGCGAGGGACAGTATATCAATTTCAGTGTTCGGTCTGTCACGAAACATATTGGTGAGAAGGGAAGTGTGCTGGCCTTACGCGTCAAAGAACATCTCCTGGATTCCCGTTAATTTCCGCCGCCGCATTCGAAGGATCGTTGCGCGAGCCATGTTAGAGGTTCGGCTGTGAAACTTGTCATAATCTGTAAAATAGGGTATTGGCTACCTATTTAAGGGCAGACAGGTCAGTTTTTCCCAAAATCCCGTTGGTTTCAAGCTGATTGTTCATATAACGTGATAAATCGTTTTTTCGGGAGGTCCTTCTCCTTCTCTTGGTTTCAAGAAAGCTGCCAGTGAAGCTCACCGGATGCTTTCCAATATTTATGGAAAACAAGCTCCATCTGAACGAACCTGCAGCTCTCACCCAAAAGTGACCGTTAATCGCAAGAAACATCGTAAGGTGCTTTCCACCACGACAATTCCAGACCCCATGTTGCAAAGAATGTCCTTTAAATATTGCTCATCTTGTATGGGATCAGCTTGATCAGCCTGCATACTCCCCGCATCTTGCTCCATCTTACCCCTAATTCCGGTTCATGCAACTCAGTTTGGCAGATACGCGCTTCCGGAATGCCTAAGAAGTGAGGACATGGGTGGATGACTGGGTTGCTTCGAAAGATGAAGACTCTTTTAGACTCGGTATCAACAAGCTACCAGAAAGATGGCAAGATGTTGTAGCTAACGATGTGCAATACATCGGTTGAAGTATATTTTGTTTTAATTTTGTAATAAATACGTTTTTGCAAGCAAAAAACGGCGGAACTTAATGTACACACCTAATAGTAGGGTTGAGGCGTGAGAGCCTAGTTAGGACACTCAGGAGGCATCAGCTAGAAGAACATCGGAACAATGATTTCGATATTCAATCTAAAGTCCTTCCCTACGATAATGAGGTTGATGCTAAAACTATATTGAGAGCGTTGCATATGCGCAAAAAAAATCATAACCTGAACAACCGATATGAGTGCACTGCCGCAGCTGTGGAAATTCTGCTATTCATTTAGACGGTGGGCTTCGAGTTACCGTGAAATTCTTGTTTAACGAGTGTGAATGGTGTCTCATCGGTCCCCTGTTATTCACGAAGTGAAGGAAAATGGCACGGTGGTGGAAATACAAAGGTTGGTTTCTTGGCTAAGATTTCTCGGTGTTCGATTTCTGGCAGCTGTTGAAACGCCTAGTGAGTTTGCGATGTGAGTGACTTCATTCCTCACCCTAATTGTAGCACTTGCGTGCATGAATAAGTAGATAAATATACGACGCTTCTCGAGATCTGTGGGTCCCCCAAAATCATGGGCGCCTATTCATCGAGGCATTTATGCTTCTGAGCTAGCATTAACAATGAAGTAACGTCTGCTCACCTTATGTGCAACAGCATCCTACAGTTACATTACGAAATACCTCCCATGAGCCTGGATAGAAGTCAAAATCTGTTTTCAAACTTTGGCATTTTGCATGCAGGTATCCTTCCCTCACTTCTCCACAGCCGTTCTCAACTCTTGCTTTCGACATTCGAACTGGGAGCCAAACCCAACAGGTTCCCTTCTATTCAGGGACCACATGGCGAAGCTCAGTGGGTTGAAGTCTGGAGAGCAGGATAGACATTTTTCAGTGCTAATGAAGTCGAGGAGGTGGCGTCAGCACAACTCTCGAACGAGCCACTAGTAGGACTACGGTCCGTTTGAAGGACCGAGGTCGGACCAATGCCTCAGAACGTCAATCAGTGTACTCTCTGAGCTCCCGCACCTTTGTCATTTTCCGCGTGATACTGACGAAAACAACGGCGTTTCACCATTATCCGTGGCTTGCTCCCTATTTCATCATTTAGCTGCTCTTCTTATAGAAACTTTTTCTAAGAGGTATCACATGTTTTTATTCAAAACGTAATCGTTCCATTTGATGAAGATTGACTTTGTCATAACATTCTCTCGTCTGCACAGATGCATATCTTTACTCAGCTCGGATCAGCTCGCCGAGACTGCGTATAGATTGATATTGCTTCGAAGTGCACTGCCGAACGATCCTTGGCAAAATGAATGTGTGCAGCTCTTGTATAGGACTAACTTCAAAGAAGCAGTTCTCTATGCGGTACAAGATGTTCGGTTTCTACCGAAATTCAGTCGCATTTCAATTGTACTAAATGAAATGATGGTCCTACTTCCAGTTTGAGTCCGAATCATTCCCGCAATTTATGTATATAGTTCCCTGAATAAGGCCATGGGACTACATATCCAGAGAAGCTGGCGAGTGCACCTTTAATCGCTGATCGCAGGTATTGTCGCCAATTCAACAACTCCTACATTGATCATCGTTGATTACACTACGCACCTCGACAATAGCCTGCTCAATAATGGTCGCCGCAGTCGTCCCCTGTTTTTCGAACACACATTCAAATGCAGCCACCACCTTAATCTATAAATCTCTTGAGATAGAGGCGAATATTCAACAACGCAAAATAAAAGTTGCAAACGGCAGAATATTCTCCAGTATTCTAGCGAGTGTGCCTTCGTGTGGATCATTATCAGTAAGTTCATACACTTCTCTGCATTCTTCAAGTATACCGAGCCCTTGAAATAATGTAAACTATAGAGTAGGTCGGAAGCGACACGTGCTCACAAAAGCACGTACACGGGATAAGTACAGATATGCTTGTATTTTCGTATACTTGCTTCATTACGCATGAGCAGCTTTTGTAGAAAAAGTATATATCGATTCTCAGAAGCATTACCTGTACCTCCTGTCGTCCCGTTGATCATCGATCTCCTCGAGCGGGCGCCAGTAACGCCTTCATTCGTCCCTTTCACGGGCCAGAGTGGTCCAGTGAATCGTCCTCGCTTCAGGGACACGAGGTCCAACATACCTTTCGTTCAGAGCTTTCGTGAAGAAATCTGACCATCTCGTTGGCGATCTTGGAGTTCGTTTGATATTCCGAGCGATCTAGTCAGTAACCGTCCTGGTCCAACGGTCATCACTATATCGCATGACGTGTCCGCCCCCTCCCCTGATCTTCGACTTCTTGCCGTAATCAACGGCATCCCTGATCTTCGTTCGATGACGGAGCACCGAGATTCCTTTCTGCACTTGCGTGTATAGGGAAATTCCGAGCATCGTCCTTTTCAAAGCGAGTTGAGTAACGCTCAAGTCTCCGAGGCGTACGCCAAAGCAGGACGGACAGTAGTGTCGAAAAGGTGAGCGTGGAGCCGGATGTTCTTTGCCTTCTTCTTTCTCACCCAATATTCTTAAGTACTCCCCACGCGGCGCGTTTCCTTTTGCACAGCACCGGAGCTAGGTAGTTCATCATGCTGACTTCCCGACCTAGATACACATAGCTGGAGCATTCGGAGTATCCTTTCCGTTTAGCGTGAAGGGAGCATCAGGTACCAATCCGTTTTTACATGGAAATCGTTTTCGTAAAGTTCAGTTTAAAGCCGATCCTTCCACAAGCACTCAAACTCGGCCAGCATTCGTTCCGCCTGCTCGATGTTCGGTGTTATGAGCACGATGTCGTCTGCAAAGCGGATGTGATGTAGGTAGCGGCCGTCGACCTTAACTCCCAGGTCTTCCCACTCTAAATGACACATGATATTATCGAGAGCGGAACTGAAAAGTTTGGGCGAAATGGTATCGCCCTGCCGGACACTTCCCTTCACGTTGATAATGACTTCCTTATAGAATGGTGAAATCCTGGTCGTGAAGCCGTCGTAGAGCTCACGAAGCATCCTTATATATCGCGTAGGAACACCCTGGTTGCCCAGGGCTTCAATTACCGCTTCTGTCTCAACGGTGTCAAAGGCTTTCTTCAAGTCGATAAACGTAAGACATAGCGGCATTTTGTACTCTCGCGATACTTCAATGAGCCTTGTTAGGGTGTGGATATGATCGATTGTACTGAACCCTTTCCAGAACCCTGCTTGCACGCATGGCTGTCCTTCATCTAATATTCTGCCAATCCTGTTTAGGATGACATGAGTGAAAAGCTTGTAGATTACGGACAGCAGGCAGATTGGGCGATAATTGCCAATATCGTCTGGATCTCCTTTTTGTACAGCAGCA